TTAAGTTTCATTTGTCTACTTTTGGTTTTGTTGCATTTGCTTTTGAGACCTTCATCATAAATTATTTGCCTAGACCAATGTCTAGAAGAGTTTTTCTTAGTTTTTCTTCTAGGATTTGTATAATTGTGGGTCTTGTGTTTAGGCCTTTAATCCATCTTCAGTTAATTTTTGTATATTGTAAGATATAGGGGTCCAGTTTTATTCTTCTACATATGGCTAGCCAATTTTCCTACCACCATTTATTGAAGAGGGTGTCCTTTTCCCGTTGTTTCTTTTTACAGACTTTGTCAAAAATCAGTTGTAGGTAGGTGGCATTATTTTAGGATTCTGTATTCTGTTTCATTGATCTATGTGTCTATTTTTGTGCCATGCTGTTCTAGTTACTACAGCCTTGTAATATGATTTGAAGTCAGGCAATGTGATATCTCTGGATTTGCTCTTTTTGCTTAGAATTTTTTTTTGCTATTCAGGCTGTTTTTTGATTTCATATAAACTTTAGGATTGTTTTTTCTTTTTTTTTTTTTGAGTTGGAGTCTCACTCTGTTCCCCAGACTGGAGTCCAGTAGCCTGCTCCTGGCCACCGCAGCCTTGACCTGCTGGGCTCTGGCGATCCTTCCACTCAGCCTTCCAAGTAGCTGGAACTACAGGCGTGCACTACCATACCCAGCTAGTTTTTTTGATTTATTGTAGAGATAAGGTCTCACCAAGTTGCCCAGGCAGGTCACGAATATGCAGACTCAGGCAATCCACTCACCTCAGCCTCCCAAGGCGCAAATTACAGGCTGAGCCATCGAGCCCAACTTGTTTTTTCTAATTCTGTGAAAATGTCATTGGTAATGTGATAGGCATTGTGTTAACTCTGTAGATTTCTTTGGGCAATATGCTCATTTTAATGATATTGATTCTTCCAGTCCATTAGCATGGGATATTTTTTTCATTTGTTTGTGTTGTCTGCATGAAATGTATTATTTTTTTAAAAGACATTCTTCAGGTTTCTGTTTTTGTGGGCTAGATAATAATTCCATTGGGGGCTAATATGACTACAAAGGGGTTTGCCTTTTTTCATGCCCTTATGCTCAAAATCTTTAACCCTCCTTTTCACACATTTATAGGCCCTCCGAGCTCCTGACTACTGGGGTCAAGTTCTCTTTTTAGCAAACATAAACATCCTTGGTCTTGAATTGACACCTTTGCCATACTATCTTCACCCCCCAGATTTGCCTTTGACTACTCTAAGGAATTTGCAAGCCTAAATAAGTGTTTTGGCCTGGGGGCTGCCTAATAAGACACATTTGAAAATGACCAACTTAACCTTGACTCATGCTAACCTTTATATTCCCCTTCCACTCCCTTGTGAACCCTCAAAATGAGCATTCCATTATTGAAGGCATTAGCTTCCTCCTTCTCTACATGCTGCCCAGAGATTCTGTTTTGTCATGCTTGTTGGGATGAGGGTGCATTTTCCTGCCACCTTTCACACTGGAACTGTTGGCAAAAATATTTGTTTAAGGAGGCAATGAATCATGCTTTGCTGGGTGTTAGCTTTGCAATGGTCTCCTTCATTGAATTGTTAATGAATTAGTCATAACTACATATGTTACACCCTTATAGGTACAATTTGTACAAAATGAATAATTTCAAAATATATTCTGTGTAATTTCTATTTAGAATGTAGATGCTATTCTCAAGGGACATCAATTTCACAATAATGTTTGTTTAACTAGCCTTCCTTCCTCCTTCCTTTGACTACTTTGCAGAATCTTGGAAATGATTAGGATTTAGATATTTATCATCACATGGGTTGGGACTCAACATTTGTACAAGACTCAAACTTATTAAACTGTTGTATGCTGAGCTGGGCTCGGTGGCTCAGCCTGTAATCCCGCGCCTTTGGGAGGCTGAGGTGAGTGGATTGCCTGAGCCCGCAGGTTCGAGACCCGCCTGGGCAGCGAGACCTCATCTCTACAATAAATCAAAAAATCAGCTGGGCGTGGTAACGCGTGCCTGTAATTCCGGCTACTCGGAAGGCTGAGGCGGAAGGATCGCTGGAGCCCAGCAGGTCGAGGCTGCGGTGGCCGGGAGCGGCCACTGCACTCCAGTCTGGGCGACAGAGTGAGACTCCAACTCAAAAAAATAAAAAATAAAAAATAAATTGTTGTATGCTTCTTATCTAGAGATTTTCTTGTGCCTATCTGATGTATGAAAAAACGAATATAACCAATTCTCAATTTTTTCTTATATCTTAATGTTACATAATATACCTAAATAAAATTTCATGAAACACATAAAAAAACTAAAGAATAATTTTTCATTAAGCACCTATGTAACACCACCTTGCTTAATTATTACTGAACTCAATTTCTCTTCTCCTGGAAGCCACCGTTCTCCTAACTTCTGTTAATATTATTACCTGCTTTTCTTTATAGTTTTGTCATTTATATGTGATTAGGGTTGTTGGGTAGGGAGGCCTGAGTGTCTTCTACTTTATTAAAAAGCATTAAATATTTTCCATAGTGATTATACCAATTTGCACTCCATAGTGATTATACCAATTTACTGTTAAGTGTAGGGACACTCCCATTGCCCCATATCTTCAGTAGCACTCAATTTTTGCCAGACTTAAGTATTACTGACTACTCTAAGTATGAGTACCTTTTAATATATTTTATTATATAAATATATATTTACACTAGATCTTGGTTGATTACATATGTTTCAGATACAGTTTCCCACTTTGTGGCTTGGCTTTTCTCTCTTTATTGTATATTTTTAGAAAAAGAAGTTCTTCAAGTTCTTCATTTTAATGTACTCAAATTTATCAATTTTTTCCCTTTCATGTAGTGCTTTGTGAGTTTTAGGCATCCTCTGAGGATTATAGAAATATTATGCTATATTATCTTATAAAATATTTATAGTTTTGCTTTTTAAAAGTTTAACTCCTAATGGATTTTGAATAGATTATTTTGTTGTATCAGGTTGGAATCCAGTTTCATGTTTTTCATAAAAATCTTCACTTTTTTCTAGCCAAAAATTATTGAAAAAAACATTCTTTGTGTAAGCAAAGATCTTCAGTGCTACTTCTGTCATATGTCATGTGTCCATAAATTCATGGCATATTTCTGGTCTCTCTACTCTGACTTATTAGTTATTTGTTATATAGTGTCAGTATTGTGTCATCTTAATTACATGGAAATTATTAAAAATAATTCTTGTTAGGAGGTAAGTTGTCTTACCTTAATTTATATTTTCTTGAGTTTTTTGGGGGGGGGCTTTTATTACCATTTTGTGCTTCCATACTTCCTCATACATTTCAGAATGAGCTCCTTAGTTGCAAACAAAACAAAAACCTTTGAGAAATTTGGAAATATTGCATTGAATATATAAATCAATTTGAGAAAAATTAAGCTTTATAATATTGAGTCTTTATAAATCAAAAAATGACTAGCTCTCTTTCTTAGTACAACACTTCAATGAAGTGTTACTATTTTCTCATATGAAGTCTTTACATATTTCTAAGTTTTTTTTTTTCTAAGCACCTAGTATTGCAAATATTATCTCTAAGTTATCTTTTTAAAACTGTTTGTTGGCCAGGCTCGGTGGCCCAGCCTCTAATCCCAGCACTTTGGGAGCCTGCGGGTTCGAGACCAGCCCGGGCAATTTGGTGAGACCACGATTCTTCAATAAAAAAATTAGCTGGGTGTGATAGTGCACACCTGTAGTTCCAGCTGCTTGGAAGGCTGAGGCAGAAAGATTGCTAGCCCAGCAGGTCGACGCTGGGGTTGCCGTAAGCATGCCATTGCACTCCAACCTCAAAAAAAACAAAAACAAAAAAAACAGCCGGGCTCGGTGGCTCAACCTGTAATCCTGCGCCTTGGGAGGCTGAGGTGAGTGGATTGACTGAGCCCGCGGGTTCGAGACCCGCCTGGGCAGGCGAGACCTCATCTCTACAATAAAATTAAAAAAATTAAACGGGCATGGTAGCGTGCGCCTGTAATTCCGGCTACTTGGAAGGCTGAGGCAGAAGGATCGCCGGAGCCCAGCAGGTGAAGGTTGCGGTGGCCGGGAGCGGCGACTGCACTCCAGTCTGGGAGACGGAGTGAGACTCCAACTCAAAAAAAACCAAAAAAACAACAAAACTGATTTCTTTCTTACTCGTACTTACGACCCCAAGCACATTTGTAAAATAGATGACTTATGCCACAAAAATGTGTACTCACAGCATTTTGCTTTGTGGTTCTCTGCAGCTTGTGCAGTTCTGTGACCCCACGTGCTTAGAAGTTCTGCTGGAAATGAAGTTGTCTTGATGGCTTCACGCTCAGCCAGAGCAGTGGGAGTTTTAAGTGGTTGGCTAGAGTTCCTCTCTACACTTGGGACTTACTGTTGGAATAAACGTTATTAGGCTTAGATTAAAATTGGAACAGAAATTTATTTTTGTTCTTTCAGACTCAGTTTGCCCCAGAATCTCTCATCCAAATGACAAATCGTCTTGACTTTCTGCTTTCTGAGGTGATCTAAAGATTAAAATCAGCCCTGGATGATTACTTAGACTTGCATTCAAATGGAGATTTTTTTTTTTTTAACAGAGCTAAAAATAGAATTCGATCTCACATAGAAAGTTTTCTTTTATTTTCTGCCCCGTCTGCTCTTAACACGCCTGTATTTGTTCTCTGTGGGGCCTGAACTTCCAACTCCTCCTTAAAGACAAACACCTGACCCAGTCTTTCTGTGGAACACAACTTCATGCTATTTTTTTTTAACCCTATCCTATCTGCTTAATTTGGGGCTTTTCATATTTCAAGGTTTGCTAAAAGGAAGGAATCTCTCGTTTATCTTGAGCTACTTGTCTTATCTTGACTCAATTTTTAGCATGTCCTGTCAGGTAAATATGAAATTGTAGCATTTATTTACTCAGCTTATGTGTAGCAGGGCCTCTGAAATCTAGGAGATGCACACTTGAATTTTGTGCTGCTTTATAATTGACTTCTTTTGTGATTTTACAGAATACCAAGCTGCTATTTTACACTTGAAGAGGGAGCACAAAGACGAAATTGAAAACCTGCAGGTATATCTCTTTGATTCTACTAAACTGATTCTGAGACTGATAGTTCATTGTCTCGTGTGCTGAGGTAAATATTTTTCTTGTGTTGAAGTTTTAAACTAGACAGCTTGTGCCTGCTAGTGAGTACTGAGTCTATTCTGAGGATAAAAGACTTGGATTCTGTTTTCAATAGAACTGAATTCCTAATTAAAAACAAGAATACCATAAATGTATTTGACTTGATTGGAAAATGATAGTTTTATTCTTAAAACAGGAAGTAAGATAAAGTATTTACACTTTTACTGTTTATATGAAGTATTTCAGAATTTTTTATGCACAGTGTAAATTATCTTTGTTCAGCTTACTCCTGTTCATGTGTCTCTTAGCATACCCCTATATGTCAATAGTAGCAAAGATTTTGATATAGAAAAGAACTTGAAAAGTTCAAGGACTGGCAAGAAAGCCAGTATGCCTGGCTTTATATGTCTCTTAGCACACCCCTACAATATGATGTCATACAGATTGAGGCACTCAAGGAAGGGGCCCTAGGAAGAGGAAGAGTTGTGTTGAGCCATACAGTATCCCTAGGGAGTGTCGAGAAATTGCTGACTCAGTTCTTCTTTGTGAAGCCCACAATGACTGAGGGATCATTTCCCTCACCCTGTCATCTACTTGCCATTCCCTATGTTTGACATTTGCTTATAGTGCCTTTGGCAGGAAGTTCAGAATCTTAACTTCAAATACTAGATATTGAATCAGGCACTGAGAGTCACAGCAAAATTTCAATAAAAATTTTTTCTCATTTAATGTTACCTCATTACTTGCTAGTTTAATGAATTTATGGATCAAGTTTTTATTAACAATAAATAATAAAAATGTTTTATTAACAATAAAAATAGAAATTATACATATTTATGGTATGCAGCATGTTTTGAAATCTTTATACATCCTAGGGTAACTTAATTGAGCTTATTAACATATTCATTACTTCAGACACATATCATTTGTAATAAGAGCATTGAAACTCTATTCTTCTAGCAGTTTCCAAATATACAGTACATTGTTATTAACGGTAGTCACTGTGTTGTACAATACTACACCACCTTGAATATATTCTTCTTGTGTAACTGAAATTTTGTATCCTTTAACCAGCAACTCCTTGCTCCTTTTCCACCTTCCATCCCCTGTCCCCTGGTAGCCATCATTCTCCTCTCTGTTTTTATAAGTTAGAATTTTTTAGATTCCACATATGAATGAGATCATGCAGTATTTGTCTTTCTGTGCCTGGCTTATTTCACTGTGCCAGGTTAATCCATGTTGTTGCAAATGACAGGATTTCCTTCTTTTTAAGACTGTAGTATCCCATTGTGTATACGTGCCACATTTTTCTTTTCCATTCATCCATTGATGGATATTTAGGTTACTAGGATATCTTGGCTTTTGTAAATGATGCTGCAGTGAACATAGGAGTGTGGCTATCTCTTTGCCATATTGTCTTTATTTCCTGTGACTGTACACCCAGTAAGGGTTTGCTGGGTTATATAGTAGTTCTAGTTTTAATTTTTTGAGTAGCCTCCTTACTGTGTTCCATGGCTGCTAGTTTACATTTCCACCAGTAGTGTGCAAGGATTCTCTTCTCTCCACATCCTCACCAATATTTGTGATTTTTCTTTTTAACATTTTTGGTTAGCCATTTTATAAAGTGATATCTCATTGTGGTTTTAATTTGCATTTCCCTGATGATTAGTGATGCTGAGCATTTTTTCATATACCTGTTGGCCATTTTATATGTCTTCTTTTGAGAAATATCTCCTCAGGTTCTTTGCTCATTTTTATTTGTATTTTATTTATCAATACTGTTACTATTATTATTATTTTAGTTAGGTCTCACTTTTGCCCAGACTGGAGTGCAGTGCCACAATCACAGCTCACTGCAGCCTCGACCTTCTGCACTCAGGTGATCCATCTGTCTAACCTTCCAAGTAACTGGGACTCACAGGACAGATGTACACCTCTATGCTCGGCTAGGCTAATCTTTTTTTTTTTTTTTTTTTTGTAGAAATGAGGTCTTGCTATGTTGCCCAGGCTGGTCTCGAACTCCTGACTCAAGCAGTTCTCCCACCTTGACCTCCCAAAGTGCTAGGAATACAGGCATGAGCCACCACTTCGGCTCTTTGCTCATTTTAAAAGGAGGCTTGTTTGTGTCCTTGCTGTTAAATTATATGTGTTCTTTATATATTTTTGTATATTAACCCTTTATCAGGTATATTAAATATTTTTCTTTTTAATGTATGAAAATGTGCTTTTAAAAATAACTTGAGACAGTACATTGGATTATATATGAACTCATTGAAAGTAGCAGAAAATTATTAGATAAGTAGTATTGTGTATGAATTCCTGTCAAGTTTAAGTAGTTTGGGAGATAAAATTAGTCAATTTCACAAAGAAACAAAAAAGTGGAAAAGTACCTCTGTCTCCTAGAAGAAAAAGAGAAGAAGAAACCCTTATCTCCTTTGCTGTAAAATGCCCTACAGAGACCTCTCTTTCTTTTTGTTTGTTCTGGTGTGAAAAAGGATTCTCAGCTGTCTCAGAGGAACTGACATTGAGGGGGGATAATTTAAGTAACGTTGTTAAATAGGTCAGGAAGAGATTCTGTCAGCAGAAGTTTTAACAACTAAGTTATTAGAGTTAGCACTAGCTTTTCCCAAATTGTAGATCAGCCCTGTGAGAGCTATGACAGCTAAATAATATTCACAGTAATAGTAGATGCTTACAGTTTTTGAGTTCTTACTTATGTGCTAGGCATTGTTCAAAACACATTATAATATGAGAGGGTGCCCCAGCAAAACTGGAATTACCTTTTGGAGGGCAAGCCCTTTGTAGTTCAGGCTTCCCCTACTAGGTTAGTGTTCTAGGAACCTATAGGTTTTTATCTGGAAGTTTTGAGAAGTTTGCGTCAAGATTTGTAGAAGAAATATCCTGAGTTGTGGCAAACAGGTGACTGATTCTTCTACCATGACAGTGTACCTGCCCACACCTTGCTGAGTGTTCAAATGCCATAACCCCCACGCCTCACTCTCCATACTCACCTGATCTTACCCCAAGCAACTTTTTTTTGGGATTCTCCAGATTAAAAAAAAGCCCTCAAAGGGAAACATTTTGTTAACGTGGAAGAGCTAAAACAAAAAACAGCAGAAGTACCTAAAAGGCATTGAAATTGATGAGTTCAAAAACCGTTTTGAGCAGCGGATAAAGCATCTTGATAAGTGTATTGCAACAGAGAGTACTTTACAGGTGACTGACGCTTAAACCTGTAAGAATAAATACCCAATTTTTAATAGATAAATTCCATTTTTGGGTTGCCCCTTATATTATCTCCTGTCATCTCTCTCAGAGTCCTGTGATCTTACATCTCAAACTAAGAAAAGATTGGAGATGGAAAAAAAAAGAGTAAACGGAAGAAAAAAAGTATATTGTGGTCATGATCTCCACTTAAAAGACAGGCTAGATTGAGGTGTGATTAATAGTAGTAAAGGTTTAAAGATGTTCCTAATTATACTTTAAATTCTTTTATGTTTCATTTTTTGAGTCGGAATTTCACTCTGTCACTCAGGCTAGAGTGTGGTGGTACAGTAGCGGCTCTCTGCAGCCTCGACCTCCTGGACTCAGATGATCCTTCCACCTTAGCCTCCCAAGTAGCTGAGACTTCAGGGGCACACCACCACATTTGACAATTTTTTTTTTTACATTTTTGTAAGACAAGTTTTTGCTATATTGCCCAGGCTGGTCTTGAACTCCTGGGCTCAAGGAAGACTCTGGCTTTGGCTTCCCAAAATGCTGGGATTACAGGTGTGAGCTACCTCACCTGGCTACACTTTAGATTTTTTTTAAGTGTCTTTAAAAGAATTATCTGCTCTTTTGTTTCTATTAGCAAACTTAAAATATTTTGCCCCGTATTTTGATCTATGCCTAATTTCTAAAACTCTGTGGCCTTACACACTACTACCATTGAGGTGGTGATAGTTTAAAACTATTCTAACAATCACAAACAACCCTCAGTAGGAAACTGGCAATCTTCTCTGATTTGACCTGGAGAAATGTTTTGTTAGGCAAACACAGCGCTTTAAAGGTTGAACTAGGAATAATTATTTTAAAATATGGAGATCTTTATATAAAAACTTGGATTTCTAGCTGCTCCTAACAACTCTGGAAAGCCTGGCAGCAGTGGGCTCATTTTCTTATATGACTTCAACCTGCTGGGGTCAAGCAGCAGGCGTCCACTTCAACCACGACACATGCTTTCTAATTTGCCACTGTCCACTCTGGGCTATTTCACCTGCTTGGCTCCTCTGTGATTTAATTAACCTCTGTTTTCTGAGTGATGTTGAAAATAAAATGAAGCAACTAGTTTAGCAGCAACACCAACCAATTAGAACAGATGCGGTTCTTAAGGCAAGTAGACAAAAACTCAAACTGGATGTACTCAGAGGTAGATACTGAATATCATCCCTACCTGATTTATTCCACTAAGTAACAAAGTCTCACCTATTGTCACAGGACTGGTGGAAGATAATGGGTGCTATTTTTATGCTAATTTCTTTAGATGGGATTTTTATTGACTTCCTTCATTGCCTGTTAGATTGTCAGAATTTCTCCACTAACAGGTCACTGTGAAGTCAGTTGTGTTTCAGGACTTCTTTAACATGCCTCTCTAGAAAAAGAAGGATTTCATGCTCAAAGTACACAGAGAAAGTGATTCATTCTGACACTATGTAAAAGAATTGATATGTATTACATTTAGTTGTTTGGGGAATGTTTTCAATGGAAAGAAACAAAGAATCTAAATTCAACTTTCTATTCTGTTTTTGACCATAGATTTGTAGGGAAGTCACTTAATTGTTCTGTTTCCCCACCAGCAAAATGGAAACCCTGCCACCTAAAATACTTTGGATGGTTGACTTTTTTATCCTGTAGTCCCACAGCAAGTAACAGAGTTTTTAATCTCATCTGTGCTCTGTAGCTAA